AGGAGGAATAATTGAAATGGATTTTAATAATAATGATCCATTATTGAGTATTTTTTGTATACAAAACAAACCAATAACATTAGAAGATGCTATGAAAAAAGAAGAAGTTATTAAAAATGTAAATATATTAATAAAAAATATATTTAAACTTCTTCAATAATAATAGTTAATAAATTCATTATTATTTTTTTTTTAATATTTTAAAAAGAAAGAAAAAAAAAATAATATATAATATAAAAAAACAAACAAATGAATAAAAAAGAAACCAAAAACAATTCACAAATAAATCGAAGTTGACCAAACATTACTTACCTTAAACAATAGTTGGTGCATTTGATGAAATCTTTGGCCATAAATCAGCTGATTCTTTTGAAACTGGTCCAGTAATAGCTGAACCTTTCATTTCTCCTTTCATATTGACAATAACAGCTGCATTATCTTCAAAATATAATGTAACTCCATCTTTTCTTCTCCATGTTCTTCTTTGTCTAATAATAACAGCTGTATGCATCTTCTTTCTATATTCTGGTTTACCTTTTTTACATGTTGCAACAACCATATCACCACATCCAGCTCTTGGAAGTCTATTTAATCTTCCATGGAATCCTTTAACTGAAATAATAGTAAGTGTTTTAGCTCCAGTATTATCTGCACAGTTAACTGTTGATGCATTATTTAAACCACAAGTAACTCTAAATTTATTTCCTTGTCTTCCTCCTGCTCCTCTCTTTGGCATCTTTCAATTAACAGGGTTTTTTAGTTTTTCTTTCTTTCTATAGTTTTTTTTTTCTTATTTCTTTTTATTATTTTTCTTTTCTTTATAATCCAAATAAAAAATTCTTAAAAATTTTTTATTGAAAAAACATTTAATTTTTTATCTTTATCTTATTTAATCATCATAATTTGATTCTACATTGATTAAATACATTAATCCAATGATTATTATTGTTGTTAATATCATTACAGTAATTACAATAACAACTATTTGATTATGATATTTAAATACTAACACAAAATCTTCTCCACTCTCACTTGCTTTTTTTAACATTCTAATATGCCATGGTAATCGAGCTGATGGTGTAATTACTGTTCTAGATTCTGTTTCATTTTCTTCATTTCTTGGTTTATCAATTTCCATAATTTTATTTGGATTATGTTTTCTCATTGGTTCAATTTTTATTTCATTACTTTCATTTTCTCTTTTTTGTTTTCTTCTAATTTCTCCAGGTGTTGATGGTATTGATTTTTTTATTCTTCTTGTTAATAATGAATTTTTTTTTGTTTTTTCAATACCAGGTGATTTTGATACCATTGGAATACTTTTAATATCTTTTTCTCTTTGTATTTTTAATGCTACTGGTTTTTCTAAAATAGTTGTTGTTAATTTTTGTTTATTATATGTTGTTTTTGTTTTTTCTTCTATTTGATATGGAAGATCTGTAATTTCAATATTATTATTTTCTTTAGATTCTATTTCTATTGGTGTTTGAATAATTGGTTCTACAAAATCTTTTTGAATAGGTATTTCAATAAATCGTGTTTTCTTTCGTTCTTCTTTTTTATGTATTTTTTTATTTTCTTTTTTTATTTCTAATTTTTGTTTAGATTCTTTTTTCTCTTTAGTATTATCTTTAATCTCTTCTATACTTTTTTCTTGATTTAATGATGTTTGTTCTTTTATTTCTTTTGATGTTTCTTTTTTTAAATGTTGTGGAATATAACTCTTAATTGGTTTTGTTAAATCTATATTAATTTTTGTTTTTGGTTTACTTTCATCTGAAATAACTCCTGTTTCAATAATACTACTTTCATCTGAAATATCTCCTATTGATTGTGATTCTATAGAACTTTCTGTTATTTTTGTTTTATTTTTTCGTGTGAATGGTTTTGCATTTAATTTAAATTTACTTGTTGATTCACTTGATTCAAGTGTTATTTCACTTTCTTTATTACTAATTCTTGGAATAGTAATATCTTTCATTTCAAATTCATCAATGTTTTTATTTTCTTTTTCTTTCTTTATTTTTATTTCTTCTATTCTTCCTTTTGATTCTTTTGTATCATTAAATGTTTTAGATTCAATATATTCAGATGTATTATGATTCTTTATGTTTAATGAATTTTGAATTATTTTATCTGGTAATGTAGCTCCATCAAATGTTGTATCTGGAGTAACTGCTTCAAGTGAAAGTGGTCCAAATGAATCATTAATTTCTGTACTTGATGTATCTTCTGAACTAGTGAAACTTTCTTTAATCTTTTTACTCACTCTTACTGGATTTACTTTTTTCTCTCCACTTTTCTTTCTTTTTCCACAATCAGTCATTATACCTGAATAATTAAGTATTTTATGAAGTGAATTTAATTTAATTTCTAATGTTGTTGATGGTGCAGTAAATAACATTTTATTTGCTTCATAAATATCACCCCATAATTCTTCTGTTGATAATTCTAATTCCGCTTCAACAAATTGTTGTAAAAAATCATCTGGATCTGCCATTTCCATTAATTCATTAAATCCTTCTTCATTTTTCTTTTCTTTTGGTCTTTTATATAATTCTTTTGTTATTTTTCCTTCAATTCCTTCTATTGATTTTTTATTTTTGATTTCCATTTCTGAACTTTTAATATTATTTCCTTCTTTTTTTGTTTCATCACAATCTGCTAACATACTAAAGAATGATGGTCGTTGTTGATTTTCATCTTTGTGTTTTTCAAACATTACCTTACTTTGTTTACTCCCTTCTTCAATAAATTCTTTACATAAATGAATAGTATTTTGTTCACAACTTTTAATCCAAATACCCATTGTTGAATTTTTTTCTGTTTTTAAACAAGCTGTAATACCATTAATACTTGAAATAAATGAACAATCACTAAATAATAATTCATTAACCATTGCTTCAAAACTTTCTAATACAAAAGAACGACTTGTTGTTATCCAACATTTTCCACCATCATAATTTGATGGATCAGATCGTTCAGGCTGAATTGTTGATTTAAAGATATGAATATTTATAAATTGATTGGTATGAAAATCATAATCATCACTACATTGTTTCCATAAAGTTTTAAACTCTTCCTTTCTTGAAAAGTTAGCAACAGGACTACCTGGAGCACTATAATCACTAGAAAAAGGCATTGCTTCATCATCAATATAAATGGTAAAAGTGGTCATGATAAAGAGGAGAAAAAAAAACAAAAGATACAAGTTCCAATAAACAATAAGAGAAAAATATTGTTATTTGAAAAAATGTTTTAGAAAAAAATTCACAACATTAAAAAAGAAGTCATTTCATAAGAAAGCACTACGTGGAAAGAGAAACCCTAAAAGAAAAAGGTAAGAATAGGAAGAAATATAGTAAAAAAAGAGGAAAAGAAAGTAAAAGAGGAAGAGAAGAAAATAAAGAAAATGATGGAAAAACAAGTGACAACGAGAGATGACGTGGTGTATTACAATTACATCGTAGACAAAAGAAGAGTATTTAAATGAGAAATAGAAGAGATCAGTCATTAGAAAAAGAAATGACAGAGACATATCAATTCCAAGCAGAAATTAATCAATTATTATCATTGATTATTAATGCATTTTATTCAAATAAAGATATTTTCTTAAGAGAATTAATTTCAAATTGTTCAGATGCACTTGATAAAATTAGATATCAATCACTTCAAGATAAAAGTGTTCTTGAAGCAGAACCAGAATTAATTATTAGAATTACAGCAGATAAAGATAATAAACAATTAATTATTGAAGATACTGGTATTGGTATGACAAAAGCCGATTTAATTAATTGTCTTGGTACTATTGCAAGATCAGGAACAAAAACATTTATGTCAAAGATTATTGAAGGAACAGCTGATGTTTCTATGATTGGACAATTTGGAGTAGGATTTTATTCATCATATCTTGTTGCAGAAAAAGTAACAGTTATTACAAAACATAATGATGATGAACAATATATTTGGGAATCATCAGCAGGAGGAGAATATACAATTACACTTGATGAAAGTGGAGAAAGATTAAAGAGAGGAACAAAGATTATTTTAAAACTTAAAGAAGATATGCAAGAATATCTTGAAACAAAGAAGATTCAAGAAATTATTAAGAAACATTCAGAATTTATTCAATATCCAATTATGTTATATGTTACAAAAGAAACAGAAGAAGAAGTTACTGATGATGAAGCAGAAGAAAAGAAAGAAGAAGAAACAAAAGAAGAAGAAAAGAAAGAAGAAGAAAAGAAAGAAGAAGAAAAGAAAGAAGAAGAAGAAGTTAAGATTGAAGATGATAAAAAAGAAGAAAAAAAAGAAAAGAAAACAAAGAAAGTAAAGAAAGTTACTCATGAATGGGAACAAGTTAATAAACAAAAACCAATTTGGACAAGAAATCCAAGTGAAATTACTAAAGAAGAATATGCATCATTCTATAAAACTATTTCTAATGATTGGGAAGATCATCTTGCAGTTAAACATTTTTCAGTCGAAGGACAAATTGAATTTACAGCATTATTATTTGTTCCACAAAGAGCACCATTTGATATGTTTGAAACTAAGAAGAAACCAAATAATATCAAATTATATGTAAGAAGAGTCTTTATTATGGATGATTGTAGAGAATTAATTCCAGAATGGTTAGGATTTATTAAAGGAGTAGTTGATTCAGAAGATCTTCCATTAAATGTTTCAAGAGAAATGTTACAACAAAATAAGATTCTTAAAGTTATTAGAAAGAATCTTGTAAAGAAATGTCTTGAATTATTTGTAGAAATATCAGAAAATAAAGAAGACTTCAAAAAATTCTATGAAGCATTTGGAAAGAATCTTAAATTAGGTATTCATGAAGATTCAACAAATAGAGATAAAATTGCAGAATTACTTAGATTCTATTCATCAAAGAGTGGAGAAGATATGACATCATTTAAAGATTATATTGCAAGAATGAAAGAAAATCAAAAAGAAATTTATTTCATTACAGGAGAAAGTAAGAAAGCAGTTGAAACATCACCATTTGTAGAAGGATTTGTTAAGAAAGGAATTGAAGTACTTTATATGACAGATCCAATTGATGAGTATGCTATGCAACAACTTAAAGAATTTGATGGAAAGAAACTTGTTTGTATTACTAAGGATGGAATTAAAGTAGAAGAAACTGAAGAAGAAAAGAAAGAACAAGAAGCTAAAGAAAAAGATAATGAAGAATTAAGTAAAGTAGTTAAAGAAATCCTTGGAGATAAGATCGAAAAAGTAGTAATTTCTAATAGATTAGTTAACTCACCATGTGCTCTTGTTACTGGAGAATATGGATGGAGTGCTAATATGGAAAGAATTATGAAAGCACAAGCATTAAGAGATAATTCTATGAGTACTTATATGGTTTCTAAGAAAACACTTGAAATTAATCCAGATCATCCAATCGTTCAAGAATTAAGAAAGAGAGTTCACACTGATAACAGTGATAAAACTGTTAAGGACCTTGTTGTATTATTATTTGAAACAGCATTATTATCATCAGGATTTTCATTAGATGAACCAGCTGCATTTGCTGGTAGAATTTATAGAATGGTTAAACTTGGATTGTCCCTTGATGATAAAGAAGAAGAACCAGCAACCGAACCAGTTCCAGCTGTTGAAGAAACACCAATTGAAGATTCAAAGATGGAGGAAGTTGATTAAAGAAAAGGTGATTGAATAATTCAAAAAGTTTTAGAAAAGTTTTTATTTTTTAAATTTACTTTTATTTGAAATACTTTAAATATTTATTTAAATAGTAGTATAATAAACTAAATGTTTTATTGTTATATTCATACTAATCAATTGTTATTTCAGTGAACAAAGATACTTATAAGTTATTACCAAAGTTATTTGGGTTATAGGATACGAAGTACTGTCTGAGGTATTTCATGTTTTTAAAACAAAAGCATTTATTACAAGACTCATTGTCTCATTCCTAAAAAAAGATGTTATAATACTATTAATGAATACCTCACAAAATAAACAGTGAACCATCATTAAAAAATAAGTTGTCCTTGAGTTGTGAGTACTTTGGTTCCATGCCTTTAGCTCATTAAAATAATTCATTTTTATAACAAACAACTATTAACGAAATGAATAAAAGCTTATTGGGGGATTGGCTGTGGTTGTCTAGGAACTTGGCAGTTGCTCTAGTTTCTTTACCGTAGTTGTGTTGGAATTTTAGTCAAATTTCGTTATGAAAAAAAATGACGTAGATAACTTTTTGACAGAATGAATCAGCCAATACAACCACTCTTCGTCAATAACTTTTACTGAAAGATATCGTTCGTTACCATCAGAAGTTAATGTTGAAGAATATGAAAAAATTCCTATAGAAAATTTTGGGATAGCAATGTTAAAAGGAATGGGATGGAAAGAATAAAAATAAATAAATTAAAAGAAGTTAATTAAGTATTAATAGAACTTGTGTCTATTGTTCCTGGCTCAGGGGAGACTAATCCCGTCCCTGAGTCTTCGTCTTGTAGTTCAACTACATATGTTTGGTTGTGATCTCCACAGTGCTCCATGACATCCATCATGTTTTTAATTACAAGGTTTTTAATTTCTTTAGTGATGTCAATTTCGATTTTTAATTGTTTGATTAATTTAATACTTTCGGCATTTACTAGCCCATTAATCGAAATTACTACTGGAATTATTTTGACATCCTTTAATTTCTCTATTTTAATTACCTTATTTTTCAATTCCTTGTACATATTTCTTTTCTTCCAATAGGCTCCATTAATATTATGATCTGCCACAATAGTCATATCAAATATTAGACCAGTTTTATTCTTTTTATCTAGTACATATATATCTGGTCTTTTATGATATAGTCCATCACTTTTTGGCATTATTTGTTTGTTCCATATCATAGTGATGTCATTGTATTGGAACACTGTTTCATATGGGGGTTTCTTGTATTGTTTATTTCCTGTGTATTTTCTTATTAACCCCTCCCATATGATAATGCCAATATGGTCATGTTTCTCCATTTGTGATTTCTTATGACCAATGCAAGATAGTAGAATGTGTTCTACTGTGGCTATCTTGTCTTTACAAAGTGGGCAGTACTTCAATCTTTCATTTTTTAATATTTTTACTTTCCTGTACCCACTAAATATTACTCCATCTTGTATTTTAGTTAATTGGAGAAATGCATTTTTCTTTATATTGATGGACTTCCATGCATTGATTGTAGTAGTTTTATCTACAAATTTTGACTCGAACCATCTTCTAAAATGTCCACTTGTTTGATGGGACTTCCATTTTTTGATGTATTTGTTGGTCATTAATTTCTTTATTTTTACTACTACTTCTTTTTCTTTTTTATTTTCACTTCATTTATTATTTCTTCTATTTTCGTTTCTGGGATTTTATGACCTAGTGCTTTTTTAATTATATTCAATATTCATTTCTTGGAATACCATCTATCTATTATGTTATTTCCTATTTCACTTTCTCTTGTACAATAGTACATTACTGTTCTAATTAATTCAATAACATATTCGTCCCTTAGGCTTATTAATCCTTCACCCATTTCATTTATAGGGACATATAGACGGTCTTTGGAGTTGCCGGCACCAATGTATTTTGCCTTTCTTAAATATTTTCTTATCTCCAAATCCATTCTATCTAGGTCAGTTACATTCCAATTTACTACTGATGCTGAATATCTGAAGATGGGTATTACTTCAGTATTAATTCTTGTAATATAACTTCTATTACTACATTCATCAGTATTTATCTCTTCCATTTTCTTCATCATCTTTTCTTTGATGATTTTACAATTGAAGGTATCATTAATTTCATCTGACTGCCATACACCTAAATATTTATACAATTCCTCTCATTCAATTAATGTGATTTTGCATTCCATCTGGTATTTTATTAATATTCTTTAATACCATTCCTGATTTATTTTCATTCATTTCCATCCCTATTCCACTTATTATTTCTTTAATTTCATTGTGGATTGTTCCCATTTCTTCGCTACTTTGTGTCATTATTCTCAAATCATCCATATACAATGTATGGTTTGCTTTTGGGAACTTCTCTTCTATGATTTGAGAAATTATATTCATTTGGATGATGAAGAGTAGAGGGGATAAGGAATCACCTTGTAAAATTCCTCTCTTCAATTTAATACATCCTAGATATTCA